TGGTGTCCGTAAAGGCTGTTCACTTTCTCCATTTTTGTTTAACTTATTTATAGACCTACTGACGAAATAACGTTCTCGTCGACTGAATTTTCGGGAATTGTTCTCTTTCCAGGAGCTCCACTTATCGAATTAAAATACGCGGATGACATAGTCCTGTTTGCTTAAGACGCTGATAAAATGCAGAGTCTTTTGGTAACACTGCGCAACAATGCCAGAATGTTTGGAGTGCGCTTCTCTCCCTCTAAATGCAAGTTGTTGCTTCAGAACTGGTCTGCGTCAACACCTGAACTAATGATAGGGAGTGAAGTAGTCGAACGCGTCCATAACTTCACTTATCTTGGAAGTCTGATCAGCCCTAATGGGTTGGTGTCTGACGAAATCTCTGCACGGATTCGTAAAGCTCGTTTGGCTTTTGCCAACTTACCGTCACCTATGGCGAAGGTGAGTTATCTGTCTATCAATTAGAGGACGAGTTTACTGCGCGGCAGTCCGTTCTTTTTCAATTTACGGCTGCGAAACATGGCCCTTAAGAGTAGAAGATACTCGTAAGCTACTAGTATTTGACCACAGATGTCTTAGAGATATTGCTCGCATCTGCTGGGATCACCGGGTAAGTTATAGGGAGGTTAGACGCATGGTATTAGGGGATGATGGTAAATCAGTTGATGATGTTATGAATCTTCATCGACTGAGATGGTTGGGCCATGTGATACGTATGCCTGAACACCGATTACCACGACGTGCAATGCTAACCGGTGTTTGGGATGTTTGGAAGAAATGTAGGGGTGGCCAAACCAAAACGTGGCATCAGTGCTTGAAGTCACTAACTTCTAGTCTGAGCCATGTTGGTAGATGTGGACTACTTGGTTAGGGTCCGTGTGACTATCGTAACCAATGGTTGGAGACTCTGGTTGACGTGGCTCAGAATCGACCACAATGTCATAGGTGTATACACTCTCTGTCTCCCCTTAAATTGAGAGATTAAAATCGCTTCATATCTTTATTTCTGCGAACTAATTCCTTCTTCGTGTACTATATCCTTATTGCAATCTTTCTTTTATATATTACCACCTGTGAATTAACTACTTTTATGAATCCGGTGTCCATTTTGTTGTGTTAATGAGGTATGGCAACTTGAACCGATGCATATATGTGCCTCGTCCTACGTTGTAGCTGACTGACTGAATATGTTGTATCTATTATCCAATTATCTCTGTTGAATCACTGAAATCATATGTTCATGAATTCATTTACTGTGGCTTAGCCAAGTATGATTTGTACGTTTAATTTAATCAAAACCAATATTAGTATAAGAAGTTTGTAAAGATTGTTCAGCTGAATACATTTTTCATGATCGCTAAATATTGCTCATTAACTATAGCTTAAGGTCTAAACCATTAGATACCAACTCAGTAGTAGTCCTAAGTTTAAGTGCTCCTTACAAAGCATGGAACCACCTGGTTCAATCCATGGTGGTGTCGTTTATACTTACTACAGAATAGTAGTCCTATACTGAAACAAAATAACTTTCCACTAGTTTCTGGTCCTCAATGTTTATCCAGTTAAATCAAATAGGTTGTGTCATTCTCTAATGAATAGAAACTAAATTATTCATAACAGTTTGACTCCTAATTGACAGCATTATTTATATGAAGTTTTATAAGTTCAGTGAATCCATTTTCATGTTGGTGCACTCACAATCCTATATATACATTATTACAATTTTCTCACGACTGACTGAATGATGATGAAATGTACCGTGCAAGAATAACTCATACTTATTTAACATTATTGTAAACTAACTGACAAAATACTACGTAATCACTTTGTTAATTTACCTTATCAAACATGATCATTTGAATTGCAAATAGCTGTCAAAATAATACATCATTCAACCAATGAGAATCAACTTCGACCATTGAATAGCAAATAAATTTCAAGTTTTATATCTGTGATTCAATTGTTGTGAACTTCACATATGCACACACCAGTTCAATAGTACCATTACGGGTCCATTTCATCAATGTTTTCGACTAGCATTCACGTTCATCTCGAAACAAACTCCAAACAACAAAATTATATACAGCTTCAAGGTTAAAAAATTACACGTAAATTGGAAGATTAGTAATAAGGACAATTGGTTGTAGTGCCCTGAAAAATAGATGCAAATTTCTGGTGTCGTTTTTTCTCTGAACTGCATGGTTTGGTCGTGGAGCTTTCATTGTTCCTTTGAAGAACATCAAGAGCACAAACTTCAAATAGAAGTGAAGTGTTCGAATTTCTCCACATATGACCCACAGCTCTTGTCCTGTAGACCTTGATCTTGATTGGTTATAGTTGACCTTTAACCTGTCATTGCTTACTTGTTTATTTTGATTGTATCTCCCATTGATTTGATTTTTGGTCCTACATTTGTCTATGATTTCTCTGATTGGTTGATAGATTGGATTACTTTCAACGTGTTTATTGATAGCTGATTGACTTGAGTTCCAAGCTCCTTAAAATTCTCTGATGTTTTTAGAATTCCTTTTACCCAAGATCCCAACATTTTCTCAGTCGGATGTGTGTCTTCATGAATCGCTATAAACTAGAATGGCCTTCAACCGCTAATTGATGTTCGTGCAGGCGAAGATGAAAGGGACGTCCACTTTATCCGATGTAGTGTTTTTCGCGGCTGGAACAATTTATTTTGTAGATGTTCGGTTTTTCTTTTGTCCTTTAGTTCAAAATTCTAACGTCCAGAAGTCATACGTTTAAGTTAATTAGGAAAATACCTTAGTTCCATAATTCATTATCGGATATTCCATTTGTAATGAAGAATTGTAATTGTGAAATCAAATAGTTGTGTTATGTCAAAGATTTTCAATACTGCATATACATATAACTAGCACAATGTAAAATTAGTTACTAAGCTTGTTAGAATTTACTGTTACTTGGCAATCGCAGTTAAATCAAAATCATTACAAATCTATACAGAAAAATATATTTACTCCCTGTTCAGTTAATTTTTTTGGAATGATGAGAATTATTAATTGAAGAATATGCACGACACTTTCTAGTATGGAAGCATATTTTCCGCCTGAGTTATTCTCTTTGAACTAGATTTCTTATGTTCAAATTCTATTTTCATGGATGTTATTTTAAACTATTTTTAACTTTCATCTTGAGCAATTTCCACCACATTTTACTACTGTAACTTGTAACAAACTGAACCGATACAATATTCATGTCGGTTTCTACATTGTGTATAACTGACTAAATTGTAGTGTATAAGTAATATGATTTGAAATTAACCATAATCTTTATAGATGTATGTAATAATTGTTTATATATGGTATATTGAATATCGTCTAATTTTTCATATATTGTTTTTTATACTTATATTCCTTTTTAATTTTATCTTGGTTTCTACATAATAAATCCTAAATAACTGCCGTTTCTGCTCTACGGAGCTTCTAATTAGTTCTCCGTTAAACTTTGTATTCTGTTAACTAATATTTCTTAGCTTATACACTAGAATTTCAGGTCATCAGTTTTATCTTACTACTACAAACAACTGAATCAATATCTTGGAACTAAGAAAATCATTTATTCATGTTTCGTTTCGCGCTAACTGATTAAGTTCTTTATGATGAATAATATCCATTCAGCACGGGGTTTATCGAGATAATTAGTTTCGTCGCAGTATAGCGGGGTCGTTGTTGTTCACTTCCGATGTGTCCCATACCGGAACGAAATAGTTTTCCAATGTTTCCAGACCTTCAATAATTTTGATTGAGATCATCAACCGATTGATGTTAGACCACCGTTGAAAACCTGGAAGCACTGAACGACCGTTTCGTCCTATTGTGTGACTCCTCAGCAGTGCGCACCCATGGTCCCGCTCGCGGGATTCGAACCCAGGGCGAACGCTTAACCTACTGGACCACTGAGCCGGCATCCAGTTCTTCCAGGTTTTCAATGGTAGCCTAACATCAATCGGTTCATGATCTCAATCAAAACTTAACAATCTCCACAACCCCTGTACTGACATTTTCAATAATTGTCTATCTTACATGAATGAAATTCATTTGAAATAGTCCTGTAAGGTACATAAATCATTGTATTCCATTATGCAATCAATCTTTTCAAAATACCATGGTTTTTATACCTATTCGCTTTAAATTCATTTTTTTGTTAAACGTAATGTCATGCCTGCCCACATTCTTTTTGATTGCGTTATACTATTACTACTATTAAGTAGTTCGATTTTCCACCAATCATTTTTACGCTGTAAATAGTGCCATTTAAACTCTTTTAAGAGCCTTTTGTTATAAATGTACATCTTATTATTTAAATATACTGCCCACTTACACGTGGTTACATTTTTCCATTTCACAAACATTAAACGACAGTCCTCCAATACGTTTATTCAGAGCAAAAATAACTACAGGTCTAAGGTTTTCATATATCATTCAACTAACTGTAAATTCCAACATGTTTATCAACGTTAATTTCTATCCGCAGTATAATAATTTAATGTGTTCGTTTAAAATATGGGTGTTCGAGTACGTGATCACTTCGATAATCTTCGAATGTATATTTCATCTTTCCAGGGTAAGACCTTTTGGTTTATCGTTTTTTTAAAAATATTATTTACTTTAAAGTTGAGTTGCTGTGGTGGACTACATATCCCTTTGATTCAGTCGGTAGAATCTTGGACAGTTAAGTATAAATCATTAATTCTCCGTTTCATATCCCTTAAAAACGTCTTCTATCACTTTTGTTGCCGATGATTGAAGTTGAAGAAGCGTTATTTGGCTTAGGAATCTAACTAGCAATTCTTATATCACTTATCGGTACATTCAGTACAAGTCTTCTTCTCAACCAGTCGATATTTAAAAAGCCCTTTCAATGTTTTTTCTTACTTGGAATATAGTTAGATTATATATTTATGATAATACATATTACTGAGATGAACACTTTGACTACTTAACATACTTGTGTCCATTAATTCTCAGGCCGTCATACGTTATTTCCCTGAACGTCCTCAGAGGGATTTTATCAATCACCAGGGAACTAGAAGTAATCCTTCTCCAAAAACTGGGGATAACAAACCCGAAAAGCAAAGTATTCAGAAGTCAGATTTGATTATGCAGTCAAAAATAAATTCATTTAGTGCTTTTCCTTCGAAATGGGCAGATTCGAAACTTCATTCACGTATTCCAACTCCTGATTCATTAGAGTCATCCATGTCTCTTAATAACTCTCCTCAACTTTCACCGATACCTAGCTCAGATCCGATCAGTTTCGATAAATCTTTTCTATCTACTAATGATATTCCAAATCCAACTGTTGACAAAACCTTTCAAACTGTATATTCACCTCTACACAATCCAGTGGCCGGAGATAATGAATCACATTATAGTTTAAGAAATATCTCTAATAATTCATCACTTAGAAATGTACGTAAAAGATTGCATCCATCCAATCGTTTGAAAATTTCCCCGATTTCCTATGATACATCTACGTCTGACAATAGTAATAATCTTATAATTAATACTGAATCATTCACCGCCGCAGACTGTGATATTAATAATTTACAAGAAAAATGTACCAGTTTACCATTGTCTTCTCATTCACCGTCATCAGCTTCGTCAAGTTCTACGGTTGGATTTTTCCGTGATCCATTTAGTTCAGATAGTGAAGGGACATTAATTGACTCATCAAATATCAAGTTATCAGGACAAAGTAATAATACACAGATCAATAGATCATCAACTTATGGATTTCATTATTCACCTGGTTTATCATCAACTATAAAAAATAATTCCAATGCTCCAATTCATAGACTAAAATCAAAATCATCAAGAGGTCGTAAAACTCCATGGTGGGATAGAACTCGCGGAAAAAAATCCAAATGCAAAGTTACTAATATTAGTAGCAACACTCAATACGATAAACATAATGAAAATTTAACAGATGAGAAGAATTCACTAGTAAGTTTATCATTGCAGTGTATCATGAATAGGTAAACAACAACAGTTTTCAGATGTTTGATATTGGTTAAATGGAATATATTTTTATTCCCACTATTTCTTATTAAGAATGTGAATATGATCAGAGAAATGTTTTCTACACATCTAAATTATAGGGTATAAAGTGGTTCAGTGCATCGATTACTACCCTTATTTCAGAGATTTCATAGGTCCTGGTGGATTGACGTGATGTCTTACAAAATCTTACCACTGATTCAGAAACCTTGGTTGTCGTCCATCTGTCAACCATAGCACGAGTATACTACGTAGAAGTTCAAACTGTTCTGGCTGTGAAACGTGATCTTTAAGAATACAATATAGGTTACTAGTAGTTATATATTGCTGCCTTATAAATATTGCTGGCATATGTTCAGACCATGTAGTAGACGATCCTGCGGTTAGACGCAGGGTACTAGGTAAAGATGACAACTCGGGATATAATCTTTATAGACTGAGGTGGATGGGACATATCTTACGTATTCCCAACCACCGCCTACCCCGATGAGCGATGCTGACTACTGTAGGAGTAAGTTGACTGAAGGTTAGTGACTGACTAAACAAAACATGACATTAGTTGACGAAGTCAACAACTGTTGAACTAAACCGTGTAGGTAGATTCGATGTGACTATCGTAACTAATGATTGGAGATATTGGGTGATATGACTCGAAATGATGTAAATCAATTGACTCTTTCCGTCAAATCTTGAGTTTTAAATTTATATTCACTGTATTTAAAGATTTCATTCTCTTCCAAAATCATTGTCTATGTCCATTGTGTTCTATCATTATTATTATTTTCGACTTCTATTACTCTTTTATTTATGTCATTAATTTGATCTCTGGATGTGCTTATATGGTTTGGCGAATTGAACCCATGTACATATTTTGCAAGTTCTACATTGCTTAAGGTCGACCTACTGTTCTTTCACTGCATCAATATCATCATCATATGAAACTTTAAATACATCTTAAAACCTACTATTTTTAATTGCGAATGGATGTTTGAATTCAATCGCCTTTTAAGTAAACAATTTTCCAAATTTGTGTGAATATTATTTCCCCAATGAGGTTTCTTTATATTATTGCATCCTCTTGAAATACAAAAGTTCTCTTATAAATAAACCAGTTTTTTTATCAATTCATACATTTATTATCAGAATGTGTTTTGTGGAGATTTTTAGAAATTTTCACAGATTGAACTCATGAGTCAGTTGAAGCTAGACCACCATTGAAAACCTGGAAGCACTGGACGGCCGTTTCGTCGTCGATGCGCACTGCTGAGGAGTCCCATACTAGGACGAAACGGCCGTCCAGTGCTTCCAGGTTTTCAATGGTGGTCTAGCTTCAACTGACTCATGAGTCCATACATTTATATTATCATTGGATTGTCTCTGTGTCTTACGACACGTTCAAATTTATTGAGTCGCATTATAACCATCTTTGTATTAATTGTATCCATCAGTTTTTATGACTCATAACATATTTCTTTTAGTTTCACAAATTCATCCTTCTTTAATAAGGATTGCAGTTCTGTTGATTTGTTTAGTTTCTCACTGCCTTCTCTCTATAGGATTTGTTTTAATTGTCTTTTTTTCCGCTCACTTTTCTCTACATCTTTCGGTGTTGTTTATATATATGGAATCTATTACTCCACGTTCTAACTTCCAATTTTATATTTGTTTGCTGAAATGATAGTTTCGTATACAAAAAAGTAATAATAACTTCCGAGGATAGTTTGGTCGTCTATTGGTTTCCATAGCAATGATCAAACTCACAAATATATGTACACCTATTTATAGGCAACATTGTTTATCTGTGTTAGCTGCATTAAAATTGCAAATGAAAACAGATCATTGTTCTGTTTTTTCGAATCGTATGACATTTAAAGAATTCGTTAGCATTAAAATGCTGACCACATTGATATAATATGCGTAAAATGAGGCTATACAGGGAATCCTGTAACATATATTAAACTGTCATTTTATGCTGTTCAGTGGTATTAATTATCTATCACAATCGATTTTCTGAACAAAGTAATTCTTCCATCAAATATACAGGTTTATATCATAGACTTTGAACTATGATAATGCTTGTGTGACATCTGCTGATACATACTACTTAGCTGGGCAAACCAAGCTCTTAACTGTAATATTACTTATTATTAATATTATTTTAGTGTTTACTTTTTCTTCGATTGTTGGTTTTCAGGTTGAAAATGATTACCGACAATTTATCAACACACTGTCCAAGTGAGTTGTTTTTCCATTGAATGTGTTTGGATTACTCATTGTTTCATTTTGATGTTTGCAAGCATTTACATTCAACATGTGCTATGTATACACATCCTCATAAAAGATTATTGTTACACCTGTTGGAGAAATGAAGCTGCTTTAATTCGCTTCGTGCTTCAAAATCATTACATATTAGTTAGAGAAAATTCATTTGGGTCTATGCATATAACATTGACTCATGCCTATTACTTTTAATTGTATGCAGTACACATACATTCCAGCACAACTGAACGCCAAGAAAGTATGCACTACGTAGCTAACGATATAACATTATTGAGAAGTAAGTTTTTATAAAGAATATTAAGGAAAACTACAACGGAATCGTCACTGCCTTCTGTTGTGACCCATGCCTAATAAATTATCAAGCCAATGTGTTGCACCATCGTTAGGACCACAACCATGTTGTAATGGATCGATAGATGCCAGTTCTACACAACTTTTTTCATATCACAGATTTTTTCACTCAGTTCCGGTGTCGGCAAATAATGCACTGTGTAAAAGCAACTGAGAAGACATTCTTATAACGTATCCAAGCCAGTGTTTCGAGATGGTAACATCCGAACACACATGGACGAACATCAGCATTACTTGCTTGGGTTGCCATTGAATGTCAGCAGTCGTTCGAACACACAGAGTTGCTGTACATTCTCAAGTTGGAGGAACCAGTTTTCGCAATCATACAGTAAAAGTGCTCTCAGTGACGCATTGTAATCCCACTCTTCTCCAGGCAGACTAGCATCCAAATGGTCCAGATTGTTATATTTCGCTCGGACTTTTACTATACGTAGGTTGGTTGTGATGTAGTGAATAGGACTTGATTGATTGGAGTACGAGTGACATGCGGTATTGATTTTTTTATCATCTTTAATATGTAATCACATTTTATGAAAGCGTAACCATATAATTTACTAAATTAGGTATATTTGTTGCTCATAACCGTTTACTTTTATGGTACTGTAAATGTCTGTTCACATTGCAAGGCATTGAATAATTGATGTTCAATACTACTTGGTTCAGTTTATTCAAATCTGACTGCAAATGAATGATGTAAAAATAACGCACTTAGATGTAATTTTAATTTTCGGTTTTAAATAAATCCTCATCTACTATATTCATATTCTTACTTGTGCCATCCGTTTCATGAATTTCCTGCTGAAGTACCGAAATTTCTCACAGCTACAATAGATATCTTCTTTTAGATCTTCTTCAAGACTCAAACAACTACCCAGATACACAAATTTGTCAACTATTTCCAGATCTTTATCATAAAGCTTGATTGCTGGCACATACTTCTAGCATTCTTAGAGTATTACTTTGCGTTTACAAGGTGCTAAGTACATATCGTACTTATGGACATTAATTACTAAAGCGTATTGTCTTTCGACTAGTGATTCTGTCTTACTGAAATAAATGAGACAGTAATTTATTGAGATTGAAGCCCTTAATCAACTGAACCAATCATATCCACATACATCTGTATATTATGAATAATGTCGGACCAATGAAGTCTTTATAGATACCTACTGAAACGTTATAAAACTCTTCCTAGATTAATAAGTAGATCAATAGATGCCTAAGATATGTTGACTCTGTACTCCCTGATTCGCTCTACTTATCGCTTCACAATCATGTTAAATTTTAGTTCTCTTGACGCATCACGATTTATCTATACGACTTTGAATTTTATTAAGTTGATATTACTTAAGGGTGCTTAAAGTAGTATTAGTAGCAGTGATAGATACCAAAGAAATCACTCATTGTACCTGAAAAGAAACCTGTCAGTTTGCTGGGAAGTTATCGTCTTTTTTTGTTTATCTTCTCCTTCCTCCATTTTTTTGTCTGACTGAATTATTTGCGAATTTCATTTTGGACCATTCTCATCATTACTTTGTAATTTTCTTTATTTTTTCAATTACCATACTAGTCAGTCCGTTACTTCATCTGTAATTCATGCTAGTAACAATATCACTAATGATCTCCTGGATAATTCTAATCAAAACATCCACAATAATCATAGTAATGCACGTAAAAATAAGTCTTCACGTCTATCTAGAAAAAAGTGCACTGCAAAAAAAAGCACTGTGAATAATTTTACCACCAAAAATAGCAATGTAACAAAGTTCACATTTGATCAAAATACGCATTTCGCGCTGGGCTCATCAGCAAATACGTAAGTTCTTTGTCTTTTTCTATCTTCTCAGTTCATGGTTGTTGTAAATATTTTTTGACCAGTCGGTGGATATCACAAATAGTATCTTACAAGTTCATTAGCTTTTTTCACTATCATCCGGATAGAGACAAACAGACTATAACTAAAAGCTAAAGTCAGGTTTTCTATAGTTAACCATACAGTGGTGGCTCATTGATTAAACCACTTGACTACTATCCACTATTAAGTCTAAGGTTCGAACCCCACCCCACCTAATTCAGTTTGGTTGACCACTTAGTTATCACTAGGCCTCATATTTAGAATATCTGATAAATGACTAAGTCAGTCTAAAGTTATATTTGTTGTCTCCAGATTCACCGATACTAACCGGATTTAAAACCTGCTTAAGTTGAAAGATATTCCTTTTTCTTATTTAACAGTTTAAGGTTGAGGACAAAAATGTCTTAGTTGAAGGTGGTAAGTAGCTAATCTTTACTAACAGCACTAAAGACGTAATCTGAAAATGATTCGCGTAATTTACTAACAATTAAAAAGTACACCAGCCAATGTTTCGTAAATCCGCCTTAAAATTTCTTTCAAGTTGTGTCTAAACGAATATTAGATTTTGATATGTTGAATTTATTTCAAAAAGTGTTCAGATTCTCGAAAATAATACATCGGAATTAGAAAATTTAAACAGTAACTTGACAAATTTATAAACATCGTTTTGTATTTTATTGAGATAGTTTTTTAGAAATGTTCATTTCGAACTGATGTCAGCTGAAAACTCAAGATAATTCATAAGAACTTTCGTTTAAATTTGGACGAATGATTTCACAGTAGTTCGGCGCCGAGTTAATGTGAGGAGAAATGATATTTGTAAACATCTCAGCAACTGAAATTTAAGTAAATCCAGCGTTTCACTTGTCAATCTGGTCCAAGCTTTTTCAAGGAAATATAATCAAACATCAAAATTATCGAATAAAAATTCTAAGACCATCCAATCATGTTAACAACGCTGAAAGTAAAAATTTTCTGTAGTGCGTATGAGAAAAGTTCGTTAAAATAACAGTTCTCAAAAGTGAGAGAAATCTTATAGATGATATGAGTTAAACATTTCACAACATGCACAAAGTAAAGATAAATGTTGACCAAGCTGATCGTTGATTATATACTAAGATAAAGTAACGTATTAGAACAGTTGAAAGTAATCGTTTTTGTTCACATGATAAGTGGTGGATTAAATTAAGCGAGATGTAATGAGTTCAGATTTACTCATTAATTATTTGTTGCCATGATACAGCTAATTATATTCCATATCTCCTATTAATTCTATTTGAATTTACCCATATTTATAGGGCTTCAGCTGTTAGTCTCTCTTTGTGAGAACTAAAGCCTTTTTGGAGGATCCTTGTGTCACGATAATTCAGTTACCATTTGTTAGTTGTTTCATCCATTTTAGTTTGTGACCTATCGTTAGTACACCTATTCACATCCTCATACTCTTTGAATCGAATCCGAGATACTCAAATCTCATGATAATAAGATTAGGCCACTGAATCGTCATTCTCATTGGTCAACATTTATAAATTCAATGAGTTCGTAATTCCTCATCATTCTAATTCAATTTCAAATATAAGTATATTTCTTGAATAACATTTGGCTCAATCCAACTTGTAAGGAATTATAAGTTCTCAATCCTAAAACTTCTCAAGTTAAAACTAAACAATTGATATTACTTATTTACTTACGTCTGTTACTCCCAATGGAGCATAGGCCACAGAAAACAATAGATATACCATACTCAATGTATGTTTAGATGAAGTGTTGGATCTTACCTTTGTATATTTCTGGAGTAATAATAAGTCACATGTATCGATCTTTCTTTATATTGTTTAAACTATCAATGGACATTTTCTCATCTGAAATTATTTTTCAGTGTATTTACTTGCTTGACTCGTTTATATTCTTCCTTTCTCACCCTGTTGCTCCGTTATATTTTAGATGGCTTGGTATGGGTACTGCACGTGGTCGTATTTACAGTAAACATCCAGAATTATTTCGTTATATTTGTGATAATGAAGATAAAGCATGGCTTGTTCAAACTGGCCTCATTATTAGTCATGGCGTCAAAGCATATTTAGTTCATGCTGAACAAGTACATCAAATTGCTACACAACAAATTAATTCACATTCATCAAAAGCTGATATAGAAAAACTAAAAACCTTTAAACTACCTTATTGGTTTCTACAAAAAGTATGAAATTATTAGTATTTTATATTGATAATGTATGAATCCTGATTGTGCTGGTATAAAAGTGTGTTAGATAAAAGTTAGGGACGGCCAAAATAAAACGTGACATCAGTACACAAAACCAGTGACTGTTGGACTAAGCTGTGTAGGTAGATTCAGACTACTTAATTCGGGTCCACATAGCTATTGCAACTAATGTTTGGAGGAGACTTTGGGCAATATGACTCAAAGCGAGTCAAAATAATGTAAATCAATTCACTCTTTGTCTTTCCCTAATTCTTTAGTCTTGAGCTTCTACGGTGATCACATGCATAATTAAATTTTACTAAGAATACTGAAACCCCTTCAGAAACGATAACTTGCGCATTTCTTCTAATTCAATTTCCCACATTACTTTCGCCTTCTGATTGATTGTTATTGCTCTTAGTTCGTCAAATTTCTGTATGCTTGAAGGTCGTTTTGTACTGCTTGTCCTACCTCAAATATCAAGCTCCCTTCAATCCGTCTTCTTTCTCTATCGGCCACCAGGTATTGATGTGGTTTGTAAATTTCCTTTGTCGAATTCAGAGAGTACCTATCGTATTAGAGTAGCTCAATTGTTTTTCCCCAAATCCTAGGACCGTACTAAACCCCGATAACGTGATAAAACATAAAATTATCTTATACTCGTTATTTCACGATCTTATCCTCACTTCCAAAATCCTACTATCTATGTCCAACGTATCCTATTACTACTACTGTAATCAACAAACACATGGGTAAGGTGAACCGAAATCACACATTGGATTTGTAAAATTTGAAAACAATACATTAAATACACTATTTGCCTATCTTCCCTGGTTTGACCCTTACAAACTCCATCGTTCTTCTGTTCCTGTTGTTATTTCGATTGGTTTCTGTTCTCCTTTCTCTTCTCTTCGTTTTCCCCTTTTGTCCGTAAGAGTTCTACTTTGAGTTCTTAATACATAATACTTATACTTGTCCGTACAAGCAGTACACACCATACTACTACTAATGATATCATTATGACTTGTATTTGTGTTAATAATCTGAACTCTGAATGCGCTGATATGATTCGGTGAATTGAGCCCAAATACATATTTTGCAAATTCTACATTGATTATGATCGTCTGACCGATAACCAGATTTTACTTGATCTAAATTATATTTCTCAATATTTATCGTTTTTTATACTGTTAAACTATTAATGATTATTTTCGTGAGTTCATTGTTACTATAGTTTCATCGGTGATTCATATCAGTTAGTATTTCCAACTTATTCGATCTAAGCATTTTCTTTTCCAAATTTCACTTTTTTTAACTAGTAGTTAAAACTTATTACTGAAAGCTTAATCCAATCAGTCGTTTGAATAACGACTAAAGTAACTTAGCTTCTTGTTAATTAGATTTACTTCAACACCGTAGATATTAGTTATAAAGACTAGAGTGAATAGATTTTTTGTCTTCAACTTATTTAATCTAACTGGTTGGAGATTATGTTAGAATGAGAAGGGTATTTCTTTATTGTTCATTTGCCGAATACAATTCTTCGTGAAAAATTTGTTACAACTAATTCAATAATTATGATGGTATGTTTATCCTTGAGCAGAAAACAAGTCAGTTATACCAAAAATGGTAGGCATTTAAAAAAAAAACAGTCAATTGGAAATGGGGAAATACTTTTCTATGATAGAGACCATGTCACTGTTCTGTCAACATATGAAATGATAATTTAGAACAATTCAATGTTTAATTAGTTCACTACTACAACTGTAAAAGTAAAAGAGCCAAATTAGTCAACAGACCTTATCGTAGAAATTAGCAAAATTAAATCGCTTTTCTTGGGTTAAATATTTCCCTACCTTAATTTCTATTTCAATACACTCATAACTGAAATTCTTTTATAATTCAATCATCATTTACTCACTCTGTTGTTTATTCTTTGAATCAAAAAAGGTTAAAACTGTCGCATCACGTCATTCATTTTTCGTTCATGTTATATCAACTGAAGAAGAGTTCACGAAGAACGAAATAGAAAAAAATAAACAGAATAATTCTTCATCAATTGATGGACCATTTCCTTCTCCTTTTATACAATCATCATCTTCGTCTATATCCCGACCAAATATTATTCAATCCAAATCGAACAATTCAATCTCTTTGTCGAATCCAATGGAAATCAATCATTGTACTAGTCATAATATTATTACTAATATACCATCATCTAGAAAAATCCTAGTATGTCTCTATTTTATGACATTATCATGAAATCATCGGTAATCATTTTGTATTGATACATTGAAATCTTAAGCTGTTCAAATCCATATTGAAAATTCCGTAGTCAAGTAATATCTGGTAGAACTCTTAATGTGAACTAACAGCGTTAAATCAATAAATAATTAAATAGGAAAGTGAAACTCAGTGAATAGGTAATTTCCACATTTTTGTATCCAACATTCGACTGACTACAATGAAGCTGATATAAACTGTTTGATTCAACAGTTGATTATTCTTGATTTCTATTATAATGGGGGTTTGTGGAGATTGTAGTTGAATTCATGAGTCGATCTAAGCTAGACCACCATTGAAAACCTGGAATCACTGAACGGCCGTTTCGTCCTAGTATGGGACTCCTCAGCAGTGCGCATTAACACAGTTGGATTCCGGCTCAGTGGTCTAAAGGTTAAGTGTTCGCAGGCGAGACTGAAAATCCTGGGTTCTAGTCCCGTATGTGGGATCGCGAGTGAGCACTGCTGAGGAGACCCCCACTAGGAAGAAACGACCGTTCAGTGCTTCCAGGTTTTCAGTTGTCATCTAGCTTAGACCGACTCATTAATTCAATTATTCTTGATTTAACGAAAGTCCAAATCGAACTTGCTTGTTTTTGTTAACATGCATATATATAATACTTCATTTATTCTCACCTGTCCAATTTGTCAGATTGAAGATAAGAAGTGTGTTCCAGTTATGTAATTATTCTACTTAGTTATTGTTCAAACTTAATCCCAAAGCCTTTTTTAGCTTTTGCAATCTATTTTTACTCCCAATCATAGTGTAAACTTGGTCTACCTCTGGTTATCCTTATGTAAAAATCAACAGTGGCGATTTTTTTTTCATGATCAATTAATTCAAATGAAAATTTAATGATCCAATCCCTTTTACCACTATTCAACTCACAGATACTATATATTCTCATTTTTTCTACGTCAGATCGAAAATATCATTAGGATTTAGGTTGTTTCCGTGTCTGAATAAATTTCTGTTTTGAATATTCACTACATGCTTCCATCTTGAAAAAGAAACTGATTTTCCTATTTATATAGAAAATTATAAGTACAAATTAGTCCATTTCATTGAATTAGCTTTATTGATAACCTTAGATGAATGAAAAATAACAAATATTATGGGATTAATTAAATTTATTTCATTTTTTTTGGTGCTCTAATTCTCCCACAAACTCACTGATTTGTATAAACAATAATATGTTTTACAATGCAATTATGTATGTAACATGTATAAAGTCATTTATTTCACTAATGAAAAATAATTTTAATTAATATCCCTTTTTTATATAAAATGAACTTGTATGTTTGCGAATTCAGCAAGAAAGAGAGAATATGACTTCATCGTATATGCAGATTTTTAAGATTACAATAGATAGATAGATAGATAGATAGATAGATAGATAGATAGATAGATAGATAGATAGATAGAATGATGAAAACGATAGTAATTACCAAAAAATAACTCTATAGTAATCATAATAATGATATAGTAGTTGAAGACGTCATGAGAAAACGAAATAATATTGAAATGATTGGACCAGTTGTAATAACCATTAATTAGAATTGAAAGTATTGTAGTGAACAGAACACTGGTGGGGACAATCGAATTGTATTTAGCACAAAATTACCGAGTTACTTGGTAAAATAGAATAACCATATAGTAAATCGTTCATTTGCAACATATCAATCGATTGTCTCACATTTCATTGTTCATGCGTTTTCTTACAAATTGCATTGTGTTCCTGCTCTTCCTTTCTTGATCTTCCTCCATCTTCTGCTGCCAGACATTACGTTTTTAACTCGCGTCATATACTACTTATATCAATCTAAGTAGCACGCACCACAGTATCACTAAACTAAACAGTGGAAGTATTATTGTAAGTAAATAAAGATAAGATCAGTGAAATAAAGCAAACTTTCGAAAATGAGAAAAATAATAAAGGAAAAATTATCAGTTAAACGATCAATATAACAGTGCCAAGTAAACTACAAGTTATTTTGTACACAAAATTGGGGTAGCAGCTGCCTCTGTATGACATGGAAATTTGCCGTTATTCCGTATATTTGTCGCTCAGAATTTTCATTGTGTGTCTTCCCATGGTACTGCTAGGTAGTTTGAAGCCATTCAAGATCAAATGTTCCAGCCTATGTTCCGAGTTTCTGTTATATCATACTCTCTCCATTTTTCTAACGTATGTGATGTAGTAGGTACAGGCGAAAAGCTTGAAGTTCAAGGAAAACATCCAATCACAACCTCAATTCTACCCTCCCTTTTCCAGGTGACACTAAAATCAGTATGATTTAGTTTTATGTCTTCGGTTCACCTAGTATATTCTGTTTAGGTTTTTAACAAGGAGAAAAGTGTATCAATCGATAATGTAAGAACTCGAATCATTTATGTTTTGCTTTTGTCTTATGTTACGTATACCATATCACCATCTATTATTACACAACTAAAGTAGATTGATTTTGACCTACGTTTCATTCTTGATGTTACCGTAGACCTAGTGACTTAGTAACAATGATCCATATTACTCTTGTTATCTGTTTTTTTCTTCAACAACTTATATTTTATGGTTTTAATTTGATTGAATCATGTCTACTTGTTTAATGTGAGTTTTTTCTGTTAAAATTTAGAATTCCCCAGTTATAGTACCCTCCTCATCACCATCGTCATTGTCGTTGGCTTCTTCTTCATCTGTCACATCTAAATATTCTTTGGCTGCATCATCATCGGTGCAGGAGTATCATGACACGGACAATAATCAAAACAGTAATAATAATAATAATAATAATAATAATAATAATAATAATGTTCTATTAAACCGTAATTACACCAAGTCAAATTGGAAATCAACCAATTCTTACTCAAAAACTATGTCTATCGACAACACTGATCAGAATAATAATAATTTAGTAAATACAATTCAGTCACTTCCTAGTCCCAACCCACCAACATTGGAACGTTTTGATTATACTACTAATAGATAAATAGCTAGTAATACATGTATGCATGATTGATAATGTTCAGTTTTTTGCTTTCAATTAATACTTGGTCTTTCAGTTCATTCGATTGATTTATTTTTATTCGTTCATCCAATCACTCACTTGTTGCCATTTCTTTTTCGATCCTAGAATATTCCGGTTTTTTCTCTCTCTCTCTCTTTATTTCATTTCTCATTACGTGATAATTTGCTTGTTGTTGATAATCTCTAATATTTTTTCATTCATTAATTAAGATGATAAACTGTGTATTGTTGTTGTGATGGTGATAGTTGTGATTATTGTTTCACTTGTGCATTTCAGCATAAACAAACAAACAGATAACAAAAGAAAGTGAATAAAAAAACATAGACCTATTTGAAAAGTTTCTTCCTTTGTCAGTGAAATTGTCATTTAACTGTCCTCTTTGTTCTTTGAAATCCTGTTACGTTTTCTTCATTTTTTTCCGTGTATGTGAATGTGAATGTAATTGTTTTGTATTAAAAAGAGAATATTGTACATACAATAAACATTAAAATATGGCTGTCTGTATATATGTATTTAATATTGTTACTGTAATAATGGCTGTGTACTAATTATTTTCATATTATATCATCATTTATTATTTTCACTGTCGTCTGGTATTGATTTCATCCTATTTCTTTTGTTTCCATATTCTTTTCCTTTTTAATGAAGAATAATTCAGCTCATTATATGTATGTATGGTTCTTCTTTTCTCCATCTTTCTCAAGCTTGATTTGAATCACTACATATTATAAATACACATTTCTGTTTTTGAATAATCAGTATTCGTTCATATAAAATCGGTGCTGTTATTTGCTTTAGTTACGCAGTTCATACTTACATATATACTAATACTTCTACGATGTCTTTGTATACTACCTCTTTTTATTTTCTGATACTAACAATTCATCATTATGCTTTGTTATGTTTGTGCTGTGTGTATATTTTTGTTTGAGGGGGGGGGGGTTGTCTGTATAACTCATGTATGGCTTCTGGTTCACTCATTTAAAATGTCATGTTTTTCTGAATAAATAGTCAAGATGTATTGATTCATTAATAAGTTTGACTGTGAAAACAAATTGTTATTGCCTTTCATTTGAAGATGTCATTCTCATTTCTCGGTTCCCCAGTCTTATCGACGCTTGCTATAGATTTTATGTAACTGCCATCAAAATTTCGGTAATTTAAGCCACCCAGTATTAATAATTTTAGGAAGGCTGTTATAAAATGATCTTGATTTTAAAGTAACGGAACTACTATGACTTATCTAAGTCTCATTAATTTGTATTAAACACCACTACACTTTTTTAAAATAATACTTATTTAAAATTGCCCAGTTTTCGAGCTAAGATTGTTAACGTCATTATCACCATTAAGGCATGTCATTTTTCCTATTGTGTCTAGTGTCACTTTCAAAGCAATATGATGAAAATTCACATTTTGATTTCACTCAGTTGTGCATTTATCATTTAAGGTTAATTCCTACAATACTTTTCTGCGATTGTAAACAAGAATCGTTTGTTTGCGATGCAAAACATCTTGATTTATATGATTCATTTATATTCCTCCAACTGGGTCTTAGGTTGACTAATATTTTAGCTAAGATCTGGGAGTTAGACGTTATTCCGTCTGACTGGTCACAATCACTTATCGTCCCCATATATAAGAGAAGGTTAAAATCATTCTGTAACAACTATAGAGTGATCAACTAATATAGTATCTAAAATACTAGCCTCGATAATTATCAGACGCCTAACTAAGACTCGTGAACTGCAAACACGAGAGAATCAGGCTGGCTTCAGACCTGGTCGTGGCTGCATCGACCACATATTCACCATTCGTCAGGTTCTAGAACACAGGTCTTTCTTGACTTGAAAGCAGCATTTGACTCGGTAGACCGCGAGATTCCGTGGCAGTGTCTGTCATTGAAAGGCGTACCTCAGAAGTACATAAACCTTGTGAAGGCTCTTTACTCGAACACTACCAGTCGAGTCAGAGCTTATGGCGAACTGTCATCTGCTTTTGCAACCTCAAGTGGTGTCCGTCAAGGCTGTCCACTTTCCCCATTTTTGTTTAACTTCATCATAGACCTATTGATGGAAATAACTTTCTCGTCTACTGAATTTTCGGGTATTGATCTCCTCCCGGGAGGTCCACTTATCGACTTAGAATACGCGGATGACATAGTCCTGTTTGGTGAAGACGCTGACAAAATGCAGAATCTTCTGGTAGCACTGGACAACAATGCCAGAATGTTTGGAATGCACTTCTCTCCCTCTAAATGCAAGTTTTTGCTTCAGGACTGGTATGCGTCAACACCTGAACTAATGATAGGGAGTGAAGTAGTCGAACGCGTCCACAACTTCACTTATCTTGGAAGTCTGATCAGCCTAAATCGGTTTGTGTCTGACGAAATCTCTGCATGGATTCGTAAAGCTCGTTTGGCTTTTGCCAACTTACGTTACCTATGGCGAAGGCGATTTATCTGTCTATCAATAAAAGGACGAGTATACTGCGTGGCAGTCCGCTCTGTCTTAATTTACGGCAGTGAAACATGGCCCTTAAGAGTAGAAGATACTCGTGAGCTACTAATATTTGACCACAGATGTCTTAGAAATATTGCTCGCATCTGCTGGGATCACCGGGTAAGTAATAGGGAGGTTAGACGCATGGTATTAGGGAATGATGGTAAATCAGTTGATGAAGTTGTGAATCTTCATCGACTGAGATGGTTGAGCCACGTGTTACGTATGCCTGAATACCGATTACCACGACGTGCAATGCTAACCGGTGTTTGGGATGGTTGGAAGAAAGCTAGGGGTGGCCAAACCATAACGTGGCATCAGTGCTTGAAGTCACTAACTTGTGGTCTGAGATATGTTGGTAGATGCAGACTACATGGTTAGGGTCCGTGTGACTATCGTAACCAATGGTTGGAGACTCTGGTTGACATGGCTCAGAATCGATCACAATGGCGTAGGTGTATACACTCTCTGTCTCCCCTTAAACTGAGAGATTAAAATCGCTTCATATCTTTATTTCTGCGAACTAACTCTTTCTTCCTGTACTATATCCTTATTGCAATCTTTCTTTTATATATTACCACCTGTGAATTAACTACTTTCATGAATCCGGTGTCCATTTTGTTGTGTTAATGAGGTATGGCAACTTGAACCGATGCATAAATGTGCCTGGTCCTACGTTGTAGCTGACTGACTGACTGCAACTGGGTCGAATCAGAAAGAAATGAACAACGCAGCCATCTGTTTGTTTTATCTTATTGAGTTTAGTTGAAGTAAGCAATTACACATATCCAATAGATTCAGACTCAAGTAACGTGATTTAATTTATCTAATGAAGAGTTGAAAGTGAGATGGTAACTTATTATCTAATGTATTAGACTTCCAACCACTAGTTATTGTGTTCGGACCCTGTCCCACCAACTTCAATCTGAGTATCTGTATAGGATTACCAGATGCTGTAACTAAAGCGTCGTTGAAAGCTAAGGAATTTCGTACATTACAGTATTACGTTATATACTACAGAATTATATTAAATGTTTTAAAAAGTCTTTGAGTAGACAATCAGATATTACCACCGACAAAGATTCATTTTGTATTAAGAAATACCATACCAGAATCTTTTATAAAAACCAACTCGAGAATTACTATACTTAGAAGTAACCTTGAATTACTTAACACACTTCAATCTATTAGCAAATGTTCGTAGTGTTCAGTGTGTAAGTTAGTGGACTAAATTGGTGTGTTGATCAGGAAATCTCTCAGTTTCATGAAAGATGCCTTCATCAGTACGCATTTCACAAAAATGCAAATGTTTAGTGTTAATCATCTTTGAGAAGTTATGTAAGCCGTATTTGGATTATTCTCTAACTCAAGAGTTTCTAATTAATCATATTTTATCTATAAAATAAATTTATGAGTTTCCTAGTTTTACTGATTAGAATAATCAATACAAAGGGTTTAATAAAATACTCGTTATGGTTTATGTATATGTAAATCAAGTTCAATAGTTTGGAAGAATTAACAGAACGAAAATTCCCAAGGAATACCTCGACAAATTTGATACACTTGGTTGCCTTCACAAATTTGAACAAAGGAAGAATGAGAATATTTGCAAAATATAATGAATTCATTGTATTTTATTATTTTCTCGTTATCTACATACAACCTAATACATTTACCTATTTCCAATTATTGATATAACATTCCATTTAAAATGTAATTCTTACCTTCGAGTTGATAGCTAACTTCTAACTGTTTTCAACAGTTGAGGTCACAAGTCAGTTGAAGCTAGACCACCATGGGAAACCTGGAAGCACTGGACGGCCGTTTCGTCCTATTATTTGACTCCTCAGCAATGCGCATCCAAGACCCGCTCCGCGGGACTCGAACCCAGGACCTATCAGTCTCGTGCGCGAGCACTTAACCACTAGACCACTAAGCTGGCATCCAACGGTGTCAATGTCTAACTTCAACTAATCCACGAAATTGAGTGACACATCCACCATTGTCATCAGCGAGTTAATATCTCACAACAGACCAGGTTGAACTCCACTGATATTACAGCTTCAACTGACTCATGATCTCAACTATTGAAATTACTACAATCTCCGCAAAAGCCCCTCTGATTCTAACTCTTTTGTTAACAGAAGTAAATTAAACATTTTGATCTTTTTTTCCAAAATAATTCTAATCACAATCTAGTGAGTTAAATATATACATCCTTTGTTGTTGTTGTTTTCTTTCTGAACTTTTTAAAACAATTTTTTTGATATTACGTGACATTCTATTGAATACTCTAAAAATATCGTTCTAAACAATTACAAAAATGTGTTAAAACGAGTTTAATTATATAACTTCGTTCATATTCGTTATTGGTAATACATTTTCCGCATTGAATATTGTAATAATAAATGGAAATAATTAAATATAATAAGTTGTAATACAATCAATCTATTATATTCTGTAAATATTCTCATCCTTGTTTTGTTTAAACTTTAACAAATGATATCAAAAATCTTAAAACAATATATAACATATAACTCGAAATCTATTAATGGTTAAGGAAATAATGATTATTAAACTTTCTGTCGAATTATTAATTGTTGGGGACGTTAGATCCCCAGAACTCTCTTGGGAAAGGACCTAATTTTGTAATTTGTTTAGAAAATTTGGATTTCTTCGTTTTCGCGCCAAAGGCGCACTTGTCACCTTCATGTCGTATTTCGCACTGGGAAGTATCTTAAATGCTATTGGTCCGTTGCGTCTTTTAGTATACTATTTGGTAACTCTTCTCAAAAACGGCTTTGCACTGTATACATACGTTTTGAATTGTGTTTGTTGTTATCACTCGTTTCTGGCTGTTTTGCAGAATATACTTTCCATTCCAAGCTTGGACTTCTCCCTCTAGTCAGCGGGGCTGGGACGCATCAATAGCTAGCTTACTGGTCTTTGGTCACCGAGTCTTGTTCTCGTTCGTCAATTAAGTGAACTCGTGACAACTTCGAACCTAACAAGCCTATCGAATCTCTGAATCCTTGATTCTTCGTTCCGTTCCGAGTAAGACGAATCAGTAGTAGCATTCAAGTTAACGAACATAACATTAACAAATGAAAAATAACCTCAATCTTTACATTCTAATGATAGAAAGGAATATGTCCTCTAATATCACCAAAACAGTAATACGAAAGATCTTCAGAACTTTGAAACAGGACAGACATTGTAATAACTAAAACGGCTAAAGGAAATTTAATAGTAATTAGGAATATAGCTGATTAGGATAAGAAGGCATTTGAACATTTATCCGATAAACCATACTTATTGAAGAAAATAAGAATTCAACAAGATAAAACTCAATACAAATAGACTTCTGTAACAATTAAAACCTTAAATTAAGAACTCCATTTGGTTTGAACTAAAATCGATATCTTATTTACCCTCAAGATTCTACGGACAACCAAACACATAAAACTTTCAGTCTTAATAAAACTAGTCGTGAATTTCACTAACATACATTCTATTTAAATATTTACAACATTAAAATCTCTCTAAAATCACACACAACATATAAATGAGGATTCATTTTATTTTAAATCCAAAATAATAAATCAGAAATTTAACAAAGATGAAATGGTGATAAACTATAGCATTAACTCATTATAAACTAACATTTCTGTTATCAAATTTCGTGCTATCATTTTTAGTTTGTTAGAATTAGTCATAACTCTATGAAAATGATGTCATCTGAGCACCAACGAGATCATCAAACCCTCAAAATCAATCTTAAAAGTTAGTTATTTTACATTTAAAGGAAACTTTTATTAAAAAAACCAATAAAGTTGCGATTTCATACACATAGTTTCGTTTGAAAAGAATGAGAACAAAAATTCTAATAGTATAGTATCCCGTTGGATGCCGGCTCAGTGGTCTAGTGGTTAAGTGCTCGCGCGCGAAGCCAGTAGGTCCTGGGTCCGAGCCCCGCGTGGTGCGGGATCGTGGACGCGCACTGCTGAAGAGTCCCGTACTAGGACGAAACGGCCGTCCAGTGCTTCCAGGTTTTCAATGGTGGTCTAGCTTCAACTGACTCATGATTTCAATCTGTGTTATTTTATTTTGTTGGTTCTCATCAGCTGCCCATAACCTATGATATTTAAAGTATAATTACGAAT